AGTCATCCATGAAGACTTCCATGATCTCTCCAACCAGTCGGTCGAAGATCGCCAGCATGCATCTCTGGAAGGTCGCCGGTGCATTACACAGCCCAAATGGAATCCTCCGGTAAGCAAAGGTACCGAAGGGGCAAGTGAATGTGGTCTTCGCCTGATCCTCCGGAGCAATAGGAATCTGGAAGTAACCAGACATGCCATCCAGGAAGCAATAGAACTAATGGCCAGCCAACCTCTGCAGCATCTGATCAATGAAAGGTAGGGGAAAATGATCTTTCCTGGTGGCGTCATTCAGGCGCCGGTAATCGATGCAGACTCTCCAGCTGGTCACGGTCCGCATCGGGATCAACTCCTTCTTCTCATTCGGGACCACAGTCATCCCGCCTTTCTTTGGGACCACCTGAGTGGGGCTGACCCACTTGCTATCAGATATAGCAAAGATGATCCCTGCATCCATGAGCTTCACAATCTCTGCCCGGACCACTGCCTCCAAGTTAGGAGACAATCTCCTCTGCGGCTGCCTGACTGGCTTAACCTCATCCTCCATCAGAATTCTGTGGGAGCAGAAGGATGGGCTAATGCATCTGATGTCTGTGATCTTCCATGCCATGGCCCGGGCATACTTCTGCAGCAAAGCCACCAGCCTGCTCTTCTGCTCGGGTGTCAGATCTGAGCTAATAATGACCGGGAGCTTATTCCCCTCCCGGAGAAATGCATACTCCAGGTGAGATGGGAGGGGCTTAAGCTCCAACTCTGGTGGCTCCTCCAATGATGTAGCGAGCCGGGGCAAGATGGGGATCGGCTTGAATGGTATCTCTCGCCCCTCGATCATGGCCTCGTCTAGCTCTGCCAGCTGCTCCTCCAGCTGCACATCCTGTGATGCCTGTTTCCCTAGCAAAAGACAACGCTCAAGGAAATCATCAGTACCCGCACTCGTGATGGCGAGTGCGGTCTCAAAATCAGCAACAACATCATAGTAATCTAGATCATCATGGAGCTGGGGGTGTTTCATATTATCAGAAACAGAGAAGGTGATTTGTTCACCCCCAACTCTCAAAATCAGTTTTCCATCATTAACATCAATAAGCGCCTTGGCGGTGGCGAGAAAAGGTCTACCCAGTATCAATAGCACATCAACATCCTCATTTATGTCCAAAATCACAAAATCAACAGGATATGAAAATGGCCCTACTGCGACTATCAAGTCCTCTGCTATACCCCTAGGATGCACAATGGATCTATCAGCAAGCTGGATGCTCATCCTAGTATCACTAGGTTCACCTAGGCCTAGCTTTTTAAACAGTTTATAAGGCATGACATTTATGCTAGCGCCTAAATCCGCCAAGGACTTCCCTACATGCAAACTACCAATCATGCAAGGGATAGTGAAACTCCCTGGGTCTTTTCGCTTCTCTGGTAGTTTGTTCTGTAGGATGGCAGAACACTCTTCGTTGAGCATCACCGTTGACAGCTCCCCAAGCTTCCTCTTGTTGGTGAGGAGATCCTTCATGAATTTGGCATACTTGGGCATCTTCGATAATGCCTCCACGAAGGGCATGCTAATGTTTACCTGCTTCAGCATTGCCATGAATTTGGCAAACTCAGTCTCCAGTCGGTCCTTGTGCAACCGAGTAGGAAAGGGAAGCTATGGTACATACTCCTTCACCACTGGTTGCGGTTTAGGAGCAGGCACCTCAACCTCCTTCTCCATGTCTTCTTGATTAGCTGGAAGTGCTGAAGCAGGGGTCTCTCTCTTCTCTGCCCGAACAGGTGGATCGGCAGTCACCTTGCCACTCCTGGTTGTGATGGCACTGCAGTTGGCATTCGGATCCTGCGGGTGAGGAATGGTCTGACCAGGCAAGGTACCAGGAGTCCTCTGAGCTACAGCCTGGGAAACACTCCCAAGCTGGGTCTGTATATCCCGCAGCACAGCCTGTGTATTTCTCTGACCAGCTTCTAGCTCCAAGAATTTTCCTGAAGCTTTCTCCATGAATTGCTCGATGTTATTGAACTTGTTCGCACTGGAGGTGGCCAGAGAACCCACCAAATCTCTCAATTCTGCCATCGGGTCACTCTGTACTGGAGTTGCAGGTGCTGCCCCTGTCTGCTGAAATGGTCGCACCTGTGACTGAGGTGGAGCTGGCCCCTGTCTGGGATAGTAGAGAGATTGCTGCTGCTGGAATTTCCCCTGTCTGGGCTGATATGGTGGCCTCTGGAAGCCAGGTGGTCCCTGGGGAGCTGGTGGTTTGGGATTTGCCCCAGCCTAGGAAAAGTTAGGATGCTGGCGCCACCCCTCGTTATAAGTGTTGCTGTAGGGGTCGAAGCGCCTGGCATTACTGATAAAGTCCACCTGCTCCTGGGTAATAGACGATTCCCTCATCGCCTGACAGTCCTGTACGGTGTGATGGGAGCTCTCACACCACTGGCAGTGCATCGCCTGCGGCTGTCCTGTACCTGCAATCAAACCAGAACGATCGATAGCTGACACCAGCTTCGATACCACCTGCACCAAATCAGATGACTGGGTGCCCACAGCATGCACACCCCGTCCTGGTGCTCGTCTCGATCTCCTGGCAGTTCCCCAATCGTACCCGTTCTCCGCCATCTCCTCAAAGAGTTGATTCAGCTGTGGCGGTGTTTTGGTCAGCATGTTCGCGCCACAAACCGAGTCAATCAGCTGCTTGTCCTCCGGGAAGAGGGCGTGATAGAAGGTGCCCACCTTCAACGCATCATTGAAACCATGATTTGGACACATGAGGAAAAGACTGGTGTATCTCTCCCAAGCATCCCGGATGGTCTCATCTTCATCCTGGGTGAAGTGGGTGATCTGCTTCTGCAAGTCCGCCGTCTTGGACGGAGGATGGTAGCGGGTGAGAAACTTGTCTGCCAGGTTGGCGAACGTGGTGATGGAGCCCGGAGGTCGAGTGTCTAGCCACTCCTTGGCCTTCCCCTCCAGGGTGAATGGGAAGTACCTCAGCTGGATGGCATCTGCTGGGACCCCGTTGATCTTGATTCCATCGATGAGCTCGTGGAATCGCCTGAGATGTGATCGGGGGCACTCCCCCTCTTTGCCACGGAACATCACCAAACCGCGCAGCATGGTGATTACTGAGGTGCTCACCTCAAAATTATTGGCTGGGACATGAGGGTGTTGAATGGGTGACCTCATGTCTGCAGCCCTGGCGGTCTAGTAATGTCCCATGGTCTGCTCCTCGGGATCGACCACAGCATGGCCCTGTGGATCAGCCATCTCCTCTTCTTCAGTGATCTGTAGCTCTGCTAGCGCCTCCTCCGCAGCCAGTCGCGCCTTTAGAGCCCGCTTGAAGTTTCTGCAGGTTCGTTCAAGCTCCTGGTCTAGTGGTAGTAGATCTCCCGACTGGCTACGGGTCATGCACTACCTGCACACAATCAGCAGAAGCAACCCGTGAAGGCACACAGGTGGAAGAGATAAAATGCAATAAAGAAAAAGCTAGAGTAACAAATTCTCACGTTTCCCCAATAACCTAGAGGCTCCCCCGGCAACGGCGCCAAAAACTTGACACGCCAAAACACAACACCAATCTACGACCAAGTGTAATTCGCAGACCGGGAATGCAGTAACAGGCAAGTTATATTATCAACCCGGGGTCTAGATCTACTGCTTACTCAGTGATTCTCTGTTATCTAGCCAACTAAAGTAAGTGATTGTTGTTTAAAAGTAAAAGCAGAAATAAAGCAGGAATTGATACGGTTTTCTCAAGCAGGTAAGAGACACTCGGGAATGAATCCCCCTAGCTCCTTAGTTAGGTTTCAATTGTATTTCCCTGGGTTGATTTACTGTCGATTAGACTGCGGAAGATCCGACAGTAGCTTGGAATCTCTTAAGCTGACCAAGCCCTCTCAGTCTAACTACCCGGCAGACGACTAGTCTTCACCGAGATAGAAAGCTGAAGCAGTAAGAACAGAACTTCAATACTGGAATTGGATTCCAGTACAAAGCAGTAAACTGGCTAACTCTCGTATAGCCAATCTCCTACTATCGAATGATGAGACTCTAGCAACCTAATCAGATTCTATCTATCTCAGATTGCAGCAAGAATCAGGAAAAGTTGATCAGACTTCAATTGACTCAATAAACATGCATCATTTTTTAAAATCAAACAGTAACATCATCCCAAGTCATTACAATCAATCCCTAACACATAGAACTAGGGTTCTTCACCCCCAAGTGAGAGAGGGGTTCTACTCCATAGAGAGAGAGGAAAACAAGATACAAAGCAGTCATACTCATAATTATGGGAAGAATCTGCTCTGGGATGATGATTTCCACTCCTATGACGATCTCCAAGCTTGATTTGATGAAACCCAGCTCCAAGATAGCTTCTAGGATGTGTTCTTCGTCCTTTCTCTCTCTAGGGCTCTGTTTTTGCTCAAAAAGTCCGATTCCCTCTCTTGCAGCCCGGAATTGGGTTAAAACCAGGAATTCCCGACTCACACGGGCAGGGCCACACGGCCGTGTGTCACACCCAGTTGCCCGTGTGAGTCAAAACGCTGCGTTCCAATTTTTTCGATCTTTAGGCTTCTCACACGGCAAGGGTCGCACGGCCGTGTGAGAATTCCATCTGCCCGTGTTTGCTCTCGGCGAAACTCGCACGGCCAACTCACTCCTTCACATGGCCGTGTGAATATCAAGGCAAGCCGTGTTTGCTCTCGCACAATCTCACACGGCCAAAGTGGTCACTTGCACGGCCGTGTGAGTTGTGGGTGTGCCCATGTGGCCTCCTTTGTGACTTGCCTCGCGCCCGATCTTCGTCCAATCGACCCCAAACTCGCTCCCAAGCTCCATTCACATACTAGGACCTGAAATATTACAAACAAGCACAACCTAGCGTGAAATCGGCCTAAAACACGAGAAATCACATCTCAAACGGTGTAAGAACAGGGGTGAAAACATGTGTAATTAACGGTCTATCAGTGCAGTTCGCTCCTAATACTCACAGCTCAAATAAACAAACACCACCACATAATCCAAATTATCTTTATTGAATTGAAAAGCGACAAAGAAAGACAGACTACAAAGAACTGAGACCGAAACCTCAGTGGACCAACCTATAGCTAGGCCGCCGGCAGTCTGGATGGCATCACCAAAATACGTACGAGAATTGGAAAAGCGTAGACGCCTCATCTGGCGAGCAACTACACCAGCATTCGACATAGTTTCCGAAAGACAAATAACATCTGGAAAAAAACAAAATTTCAAAGACTCTAACTGGCGAATTGTCATGACCGGTCCAATGTCGCGACAATTCCAAAGCATAAACTTCATTTATCCTCTTGGGGCCACTCCCAGATGGCTTCCTCCACCGCATCTTCATCTCCATCTCCATCTAGCTCTTGTTCACACTGGTCCGCTTCTTGCTCTTCCTCACCTAGGAGATCATCATTTTCCAGCCCCACATACTGCAACACATTAGCATCAAAGCAGAGTTTTTTAGGAGGCAGAGATTGGGATTCCGGCTCTGTCATCATCTCCTGTTTAGAACTCTTCCTATCAAACATCATCTCTTCCAGCTCACCAATCCTCATATTGAAACCAGGCTTAGGGCGCAACGGATGGGCCTGACCAGCACGTCCTACTCTCCCTTTCGAGGAAACTGAGTCCCGGACAGCAGAGGCAGCCCTTGCAGGTTGAGTTGGCTGTGACATCGGCTCCTGAATAGTAATGCCAGAATTCATAGCTCTTGGACGGGCAACCCCTGTATTCTTCTTACCATCATCTACCACTTTCGACTTTCCTTTTTCAGCAGCTGTGTAGCGGCGAGGTTGCTGACCATCGCCATCCACTCGAGCATGAGGTCCGCTGTGCCTTTGGTTTTGGCCACCAGAATTGCTCTGCTCCACACCTAGACCAACCGTCATAAACTGCTGATTGTTGGCAGCAGAGGAGAGCACCAACAGATCTGGATCTGCCCCAAGACCACCATCCAACTGAAAGACAACCAACATGCATTTAGTGATAAAAAAGCATAAAGCATTCGCACCCAATGTAACATCCCATTACGGCAAAACCCATTTTTCGATCGCTAGAAAAGTTCGCGATTTAAAATCGAGCATTTTGATAGTATTTCGTCGAAAATCGGATTATCAATCGATCGGATAAGTATACGTATATATATATATATATATATATATATATATATATATATATATATATATGGATCCGCTTTATGTCACAAAAAGAAATGGACAGGAAGTTAAAAGCGGAGGGAACCGCTTCACATATATATGTACGAGAAACTTTCCCCCCATTCCATTATCACTTTCCTTTCTCATTTCCAAACCAGTAGCAGAGAAACCAAGCGCGCACAGGGCACTCGGAGAGAAATAGCGGAGCTTGATTTATGAGCTCTAACTATCCAAAAATCCCGTAAGTAATGCATAATTCATCTATACATCGTTATTTATCAATTTAGAGTTTTAAAACGAGTTTTTGGTTCAGGAATTTCTTGAATTCCCGATAAGCCAAATTAGGGTTTCGGAGTATCCAGAAGCCGGATTGAGCCCAAATTTCATATACGATCTTCCTGCAGCGAGGTAATCAATCATCTAGTTCTAATCCCTGAATTTCGGCTATTATTTAGGTCGGGGTCCAAACTGCTGAATTTAGCTCCGGCCAGGGTTTGATGTGTTTTTATCAAGAATTTGACCCGGAGCCTAGAACTAATATTAACGGGGATACTGCAGGGGATATTAGGACGGTCTCGGATTTTAATTCGGGGTTCGTTCGTGAAATTGACGTTTTAGTACGGGAAGGTTAAACCGGTGTTTGAACCACTAGAGCTGGTGAGGGATTAGCACGGCATATCGGGTTTGTTGTATCACGATAATTATATTGATGCTTAGAATTGATCTAGGTGAACTAGAATGGCATGATTAGGGGTGTATGAACTTTTGTACTATATGTTGAACCCTGGATTGCTGTATGATATTATTGACTTGCCCTAATCGATATGAACCTTGTTTATGCTGATGATTATGTATATGTTGCAAATTGTGGGCTTGACTATTAATATGCTTTACGATGGTTCGAGAAGGTGATTAGGTATGATTTTTCATGATTGTTGTATTTGGATGCACAAGTGGGAAAATATATATTCCCTAGTGATATTATGATGTTTAAGAAGGATGACTTGCACGAGGGTTTATCCCGAGGAAGTGCAATTATACGACTCCTGATTTACCTATGTGGAGCCAATTATTGCCAGGTCAAGTACATGTGCAAGTAATGAATTATGATTAAGCAAGATGAGATATGAATCATGTATAAGGATACCAAATATGAGTGTTGTGGTCTCACGGTCAACTACATAGTAATTAGGGCTCCCTATGCTATTACTCTATTATGATATGTATGATAGTCACACCTCTCATGTGGTGGTGACTGAAGAATTCTTACGAGATATGACCACACCCAGAGTGGTGTCGGGGTATGACTACACCCATAGTGGTGTGGGGTATGTATGACCACATCCGACGGGATGTTGGGGTATGTATGACTACATCCGACGGGATGTGGGGTATGTTTCCCGGGAGAGTTATTAGCATGGGAGTAGCCAGGCGCCTATGAGTAAAACATGATAAGATGCATATGCATAAGTCAAGGTGGTTGAGTCTTTTGCCTATTGGGATGTTGGAGGGCTGAGATCTGATCCCAGTGCTTTGGCTTGATTGTTAGATGTATGATAGGGGTATGCTCTGTTATGAACTCACGATGCTATGATTATCTCACTCAGCTATGAGCTGACTCTGTTTTATTTCTTCTTCTCTGCTTATGCTATGTGTAAGCAGATCATCAACAACAGCAGTAGATAGGTGTTAGGTGGGAGAGGAGCTAGAGTTGAAGTCAGGAGGAGGTATGGTCTTCAACTATTCTGTGCTTGGACTACTACTCGGGATTTTGGCCAGTGATCCACACATTTTTGTAAAAATGTTTGGAGAACGTTTTTCATGTGCATACTAGCTTCTGATGTAGTGTGAGATATGCACAGGTGTGGAAAGTCGATGATATGTGTATATGTTGTGTAACTGTGTAAGTTGTGACGATTATGGTATGTATAAGTATGGTATGCAGTTGTGGAGTATGAAACTGTGACTATGGCTAGGAAAAGCCAATGCATATGGTTGTGAGTATATATGTTTGTGATGAATTATTTTGCAGGATAAGTTGCAAGAACTGTTAGCCCATTACGCGAGTAATTCATGTCGAAATTTTATTTGTGTAAATTTTGATAATTAATGTAACACCCGAGATTATTTCCGCTGCAATTGTATGAACAATATGATTAGGCAAAACGTATAGGGTAGGGTGTTACACCCAATCTGTTCCAACACTCATATTTTCCCAGCAACACCACATTAGCACACTGACAAGGCAAGTCCAACAACTTTAAATTAATGGGCCAGCCAATCAGAACCCATGAGGCGGCAGAAGCCATATTAGCAAAATAGCAAAGTTGGACATCATGCAAGTATTGGGTGAAACCAATAAACAAGACTGTGAACTGGAGCCGCTTGCCGTGAACCGACAGGCATCCAAAGCGTAAAACACTTTCACTGGATTCAATTTAGTTCACGGTCGTAAGACCGTGAACTTAGGCCATTGCCCGTGAACTGGACTTAGATAATGTTTCAAACAATCGAAGTAGGGGTACATGAACCGACCCAAGTTGACATTTAAACATACTTGCCCTATATTGCTCCCAATTGAGGTTTATACTTAGGCCTTAATTGAGAGTTTTATTGTGGTATTCAAGACGAGTCACATGTTGATGCAATATCGAATAGCGCGATATTTTATTCCCTTGGTCCAAAAATGAAGATTCGAATTCTACGATATAAGAATCAATTGGGAGCATTCTTGATGGATCAAATTAATACAGGTAAAAAATTTGGGCAGATTATGGAGCAAGAGAGACAAAAGGGTCACGTAAGGCTCGGATGAATTTATAGCATGGCATGGGAATTAAAGGAGGTCACTAATTGGTAGGGCTGGTAACCGGTTCGGTAACGGTTAACCGGTTACCGATCGAACCGGTTACGGTATACCGAATGCGTTGAAACCACGGCCGGATACCGCTACCGGTTTGTAACCGGTTAACCGGTATTACCTAAACACCGAGCCAATGCAGCGAAACCACATTTCAGTTCGGTTAACCGGTAAGCAACTGGTAACCGATTATGTGCAGAAGGGTGATGGAGGCAGCAGGCTCTCGGCAATTTTTTTAAAAAATTCATTGTTTTTTTTATGAACTCAATCATGTAAGTCTTAACTCTTATTTACTATATTAAGAGTTATTATAATTTATATTTTATAACATTACAATTGTCATTTGTCAAAACATAATTGATTTATAAGTTATAACAAGTTCAAACTTCAAATTCTGAAATTCATTAAGTATCATCAAATATTGAAAGGGACGATAATCAACATAATTGTCAATCAACCAATGCGCATAATGATTAATGACAATGTCCAAAATCTAAATTCACACAAGTTCAAACTTCAAACTTAATAATAAAAATGGATCTTAGAAGTACCCAAATAACACAACATAAATAAACGCATAAACTAGCTAGCATCTCATGCTCCTCCTTCTCTCGATAGAACTTGTTGTCCCACCACCAACATTAGCAAATCCTATCTTTTTCAAAGTCCTAAGAAGAGAAACTTCGGGATCATCATCGTCATCATCACTCTCACTCATATCATCACTCTCAGTCTCCTCGTCATCTCCCTCCTCCTCCTTGTCCTCCTCAACATCCCCATCAGGTAAGCTATGTGCTCTAACTTCATTAGCAGTTTCCACTCGAGCTTGGAATGTATTAGCCACTAGTGCAAACAAAAAACACAAATATTAATGATTTAAATATGGAATGGCTTATTTTATTAAAGAGTATATACAATAATACAAATAAGAAGAATGAATTGAATTCTTACCATTCTCAAAGTCGATTGTCTCCTGATCTTCTTCCTTATCATTCAGTTCATCTACAGTCTTTCCACTTTCATACCTTATCCAATCTTCAGCACAAATCAAGGCCTCTACAATGTTTGGGCTCAAAGATGATCTGAAAGGACTAAGAACTCGACCTCCACAACTGAAAGTGGACTCCGAGGCAACAGAGGATAATGGAACTGCTAATATATCCCTAACCATCTCTGCAAGAATGGGATATCTAACACTGTTCCGAGACCACCACTTTAGAATATCAAACTTCCGATCATCAAGCTCCTCGTTAACAGCATCACCAACATCTCTCAATTATGACTCCAACTCACCGGATACTCGACCCCCCTCTCAAGTTGCTCCTTTCTCTCTGATGGAACCGAGCTTCAAATGCACCTCACATAACAGAAGACTCGGCACTAGTCACAATATCTGGAGTAGTCTGAGTAGTAGCTTCGGAATCAGAATGTGAAGATGCATACTTCACCTTGTAGACCTCGAACAATAGTATCATCTCTTTCTTCACCTGATCTGCCAAATCTTCCCCTTTTGACTTTCCATACATCTCTTCCAACATCATAGTCAAATAGTATAGTTTACGCCTTGGATCAAGCACACAGGCCATGTAAACTATCCTATTTATTCTAAGGTTATTCTCCTCATCATCAGCATCATTCTCAAACCAATACTTTCTCACCTTTGCCTATATTCTTTCTGCCATTCTTTGTATCTATTCATTTGCATCCTTCTTCAAAGTAGCAATCACTTCATGAATATCAACAATGGCTCTGCAGAAAGTATGTGCAGTGACATATGATGTACCTGATACAAAGAAAAAATGTAAGTGAGAAATCATAAACTTTAACTTTAAGAAATGAATTTAAAATTTGATAGTTCATTCACATGCCTGATACACGAAGAGTAAGATCATAGAAGACCCTTCTTGGAGTCCACATAGTCTCGAAAGGAAGCATCAGTAGGACTATCATACATCAGATAAAACACCTTCTCAAATCTCTCTGCAGACTCCAACATCAGATAGGTGGAATTCCACCTAGTCGGAACATCCAAAGACACAAGTCTTCTACCATTTATCTCTAGGTAGTCGATGCTAGATTGAACTTTGCACTCCGAGCTGGTGATGACTTCACCCATTTCACACAATCCCTTACCCTCTCCACAGCAACTCCAACCTCTTTCAAACCATCAGAGACGACTAGATTGATTATATGTGCCACACATCTATAC